AAGGTGAATCTGCAAAATTCACCTTAAGGGTGTCAGGAGACTCCTCAGCTAGCTCGCGAGGACTCGTAGGTGTAGGGATAGCATTGAGTGTTAATACATAAAAATCACTTCTCGACTGTATCCTAGTGGATAGTCTTAGTGTGCGTTCCATCCGAACGGGTGCGTTAGAAGAAGGAAGGACGGGGTTAACCATCGTTGTCTTTTCATGGCCTCAACTTACGCCTCAACCGACTGCAGTTCGAACTAACTAAAGGATGATTTCTAGCATATACAGTCTAATTTGCTGCAAAGAGCAAAACGCTCAGATATAGTTGTTTTAGCAGACGACTTCAATGCCGAAATAGAGGAGTTATGCCAGAGTGAGGAGTAAATAGATTGTGCATGTGGAGTTCCCTGCCAACGAACCTACAACTGTGATCGTCCTGTTCTGTTCAGATAATCATCTTTTATGCCCCCAACTTGATCAGCGCACTGAGTCTCAATTTAAGAAAGAAATAGCGAAACGAGTATCTGAGGTCGACAGCAGTTCTCCTCCTGAGGGAGCCTGGCACAACATACAGTATTAAAAGCTGTCAATAGCCTGAAACCTAAATTTACTAAGAGCCGTTGGATTTCTACCACCTCATCCGAACTGATTGACGCAAGTAGACTGATTCCGGCGATCTCTGATTACGATTAGGAGCGAAAGCTGACAAGAAGTCTCCATAACGACCGTGAACAGTGGTGGACGACAAAAGCGAAAGAGATGGAAAAGGCATCGGCGATTGGTAACACCAGAAAACTACTTAGACTTATCAGGGGAACAGGTGGCAAAAGGCAAATGATAAGTAAAACAATCTCCGAGAAATATTGCATCATAATTGGGTCTCAGGATAGATGACTGGAACGGTGAAAGAACACTCTGATGAACAATTTAATTGGCCTACAGCCACGCTTAACTTACCCAGAATCCAAAACCTCCTTAAATGGGATGATCCTTCCGTAACTGAGGTTGTAAAAGCTGTCTCTAGTCTGAAACGAGGCACAGCAGTGTGACCTGATAGAGTGACTCCAAAAGTGTTCACGCACAGTGGAGACAGTGTACTGTCTGCGTTTACTAAGGTACTAGGCAGCGTTTGGGAATCAGAGCAAGTCCCGTCGGTCTGGTGTAAGTCATTGATTATCCCGATATAAAAGAAGGGAGACAAGTCTTCTAGTGATAATCAAAGGTGAATTAGCTTGACTAATATGGCATCTAAGGTTCTTGGCCCAATAATCACGCGTAGACTAACTGGCGTTCGGAGAAAAAATGACGAGAGAACCATGAAGGCTTTAGACCAAGAAGAGGGTGTGTTGATCATATCTTCACCCTTCAACAGATTCTGGAACATAAACATACTTGCCAGAGTCCAACTATCCTTATATTTCTTGACCTAAAGGCGGCATTCGATTCTGTCGACCGAGAGGTACTATGCTGATGTTTTCCCGTGAAGTGAATTCCGAGGAAATACATTGCACTGATCAAGGCACTCTACTCGGAATCATGCTGTCAGCCACGTGAAAGCTTACGGTGAGTTGTCATCTAAAGTAGTGACAACTAGTGGTGTTCGTCAGGGATGACCACTATCCCCATTTCTATTCAATTTCATTATATATGTACTAATGGAGTTAAACCTAAGAGACTCCAGCGACTCACAGATTGACTCATTACTAGGGAATAAACTCGTTAACTTAGAATACGAAGACGATATAGTCCTTCCACGTGAAGACGCTGAAAAAAATGCAGAGTCTTCTGGACACTTTGAGCGGAAATTTGCGAATGTTTGGCATGCGATTCGCTCCGCCAAATGTAAGATGATGCTACAGGACTGGACTACATTGACTCATAGCTTCGAAATAGGGAGTGGAGTGAGCGCATTGACCGCTTCAGTTATTTGGGAAGTTGCATTAGCCAACGCCAACGGGTTGATCGCCGACGAAATCTCAGCACGGATACAGGTTAGTTTCGCATATGCCAGTTTACGCCATCCGTGGCGTGGACATGATATCCAACTATCGACCAAAGGACGTGTGTACTGCTCAGCAGTCCACTCCGTCCTCCTTTATGGCTGCGAGTGATACATGGCCATTGAAAGCGGAAGACGAAGACATGAAAAGGGTGGCTAGCTATCTTTGATCATAGGTGTTTGCATTCTATCTCCCCTGTTAGGCGGCAGTATAGTAGGGTGAGCAATATTGAGGTTAGGCGTCGAGTGTTGGGTAAGGATGAGAAACCAGTTGACGAGGCTGTGAAGTTACTCCGATTGAGAGATATGGTTAGGACATGTGTTACACATGCATAGCCTAGACATCTATCGCCTTCCTCGACTGGTGATGTTAGCTGACATTGGATCGATGAGGTTGGAAAAGAGTTGGCTAATGGCGGTCAAACGAAAACAGGGCCTCATCAGTCAACGAAATCTACAATAGTTAGTTTAAGCCAGCGAGCGACGTAGGGAGGTGTAGATTTCTTGGCTGGTTGGGGTGCTCGGAATGGTAAAAATCAGTGGCTGGAGACAACCGGTGATATGGCTCAAAGTGATCGTTGTCAATCGCTGGTGCAGATGCATTCACTCCTTGTGATGTATCATATTCAATAAAACTCTATTATTCTTCTGTATTACTATTCTTTTTCCTCACACTTCTGTTTATTATTTCTCTTTTGAATCTCTCTTTACTCTCTTCTCTTGCTTTGTATGGTACATAGAGGGAGTGTGGCAGCTGGAACTGCTGCACATTCATGCAAAGTCCTACTTTGAAACTAGTCAGTCAGATCACTGGTGGCAGATACATTTTTCTGACTAGTACTGACGACCACTAAAAGTGAATCCAGGGATTTCTGTTGATCAGGCTTAACAACCAAGTATCAACTGAATTTTCATTAAGACTACAGTGTTTGCTAGCTTGCAAACTTGATCTGTGAAATTTGGTTAGAGCTGAAGACTGAACAACGTTGACATAGTTTAATCCTCAGTGTTTGTTTAACGTAGCGAAAGTTTTCTGTTTTACAAGCTTAAAAGTGATTCGAACGGAAGATGAAAATAACAGTTAACTGATCTGCTTTTTTTCATTACGTAAGCAATAAAATTTGGCTTTTAGATAGCTGGTAAAGATTCGAAGTAAATTACTTTTAAAAAAGTTTTGAACATGCATACTAATTTTATTCGAATCATATCATTCAAACCTAATGTTGAATTGTCAATATTTGAATAAAGCAAGAACAACAGTGGTTTGTTTCGAATAATATGGTACCATCATTTATTTCGTTGGCTTCTCATCAGCTGCTTACAGTCCAAATAAATTATGAGGTTTGCGCACAGAAAAGTTTTAACATACTTGCAAATTTTACATGTTGTCAGTTGACAAAAAGTTCCACAATAAGTGAACAGTGCTCAGGAAATTGCGTTTATATAGTTTTTACACAGGCAGTTCAAGTTTAAACAAAATAAATGTATGCATACAATGGTAAAAGATTTACGTAATAAAGACGAAATATGCGTTAGATACAGAGTGACTAATAAATTTGGTAACAATGTTTTGAGTTCGACTCAAATCATAGAACCAAGAGACAAGCAAAATTACAGATTATAAAAGGGGGGTGGGGTTGGAGACAAAGATTACGTAATCAGATGAGAGAATAAAGACATTCAGTTACCAGGGCAAGGGAAGATTAATTTATAATTTATTAGTCACTCTGTATCTAACGCATATTTCGTCTTTATTACGTAAATCTTTTACCATTGTATGCATACATTTATTTTGTTTAAACTTGAACTGCCTGTGTAAAAACTATATAAACGCAATTTCCTGAGCACTGTTCACTTATTGTGGAACTTTTTGTCAACTGACAACATGTAAAATTTGCAAGTATGTTAAAACTTTTCTGTGCGCAAACCTCATAATTTATTTGGACTGTAAGCAGCTGATGAGAAGCCAACGAAATAAATGATGGTACCATATTATTCGAAACAAACCACTGTTGTTCTTGCTTTATTCAAATTCATCAAGGGGAATAAATGCATGAAGGAATTGTCAATAGTCAGCAAACTGTTGAGAACCAATGAGGAGTGGGTTACAATTTTGCTTCAAGGGATATCTTTTGAGCAATCTGTACTCATGTCTCTCTGAAAATTATTGAGTTTGATAATAAACATACACTGGATTAACTCTTTGGTCATTGGAAATATTTTTCATATCTCAGGTAAATAATGTCGATTTATTGTTATTCGGGGGATGGTGACTAGCAGCGAAGTTTAGGATTCGCATTTTATTCTGTTTGGGACTCGTCATATGGTGTACCTGCAACCCCTGGTGAATGACGGCATCCCAACTGAGACTCGAACCCAGTAGTTTTCATGTCTGAGACAATGACTTTGTCCTTTTTTCCTTACTTATTTTTAATTATTGAATTGACATTAGTTTCGAAAAGTTTGGGTCTTGTTCTTTATGCTGAGTGTAGTAGATTTCCACATTGATTTCAGAGTAATGGATGTCTGTCCTGCTACCTTGACGTGATCCTGGATGCCACCGAAATCGTTACCAGTATTTGAGTAGCCTAGCCGCATGTCGTTTACCTTCAATCAAAATAAAAGGGAATATGGGTGGTCACCGGAATATGATCAAGATATTCGTCGGTTCATGTGGATTGTAAGGACAAAAATCACTAAATATCAAGCCAAATCTGACTTTTTAAAAATTTAAAAGTATCTAAAGCCGACTACACGTGTTGTTAATCTATCGTACTTAACTTTACAGTTTAGATTTGTATGACCTTGGTCTAAAAATGATTTGTCCAGTATAAACGAAGGATTGACAACACTAAAAGCTCCTACTAAAACCTAATTGGCTAAATTATTATCACTGCCCTAGATATCAGCCTAACATGAAGCGCATTGTGACCTTCACCCGGACATTAGCCAATCAGATATCTTGAATGTTTTGACCATACAAAAAACTGAGAAAACTGAGGCACACGGATTTAACTACTAGTTAGTAGAGAATTTACGTATCTGCGATGTCGACACAGCGAGTCAGTTGTCGCACATACCACTGAGCAAGGAATTTATTATCTCAGCTACAACACTAATGCTACTGAATTCATGTGGTGCCATAATCAAATACCACCAAGTGCCGAAATCTTAACACTTAGAGACTGGAATTTTTCATTCCCACGTGTCATCACTGCATTCGTTTTCATCTTATTACTGCAAACTTCTGGGTGTGTAGATAGTGGCCAGATATGTAGACCTCCAGGAGGTAAACACAAACTCCAGGAGCTTCACTCGGCTTTTCAACAAGTATCCTCAAAATCAAAGTTAATTAATGAGAAACGACTCAATCAATCTCGTTTGGAGCCTAAAGGAACTAATGCTCGATATGTCACCAATGTATATTTGGGAGTACAACTTGGACCGCTTGGACAAGACAGCTTCGCCCAGGTCCTTCCTGCAATTGATTTGGCTTTGGAAGATATACAAACAATGCCAGCTTTTAAAGGTGTCAGCTTCACCACAGTACTAATATTATACATTGATGGCCTTGCGTGCGATTCACTTGCTTTACTAACAGAACTAAACTCGAAAGGCGTAAATGTAATCTTCGGTCCTTTAAATGATTTCCACCTGGCTAACGCAGTAAGATTCAGTACTTCTATGTACAATGTTCCTGTTGTGAGTCCGGCTGGTTTCGCACATCGACTGGACGATAAAAATGAATTTGCTATGCTAACACGCGTCTTATTTACCTACTCAGATTTGGAATGGGTTTTTAGCAATACTTTAAAACACTACGGGTGGTTACCCAATAAGCAGACACCAGTAGCAATATTTACAATCAGAGATAACAAAAGACAAGAAGAAACAGTTGGACATACTGGAATGACTGGTGTTTTCCAGCATTTAAAGCTGCAACAATTTTTAGTTAAAGCTGCATACAAGCTTCTGTCAGTTACCTTAAATGATGAAGTTGATGTGACTGATAGCTTCCTAAAACGTCTTCCTGACTCTGCCAGAAGTAAGTCACTAAATGTATTGTATGTCAAATTACATAAGAAAATGACTTTGTATTTATGACTTATGCTTATTGCATCGAACAGTGTAACCCGACTCTTGATCCAAAATGTCTCCTATTTACGAAATTTTGCATCTATTTGTTAGTTGGCCTTATACACTTTATGCTTGTTTATTTGTTTTTTGTGTGTGGCTTGACTATTTTTTATTCATAGCTAGCTAGATATTGATTTTTACACTTTAATGCTTTCAATGTGAATTAGTCTTCTAATTTTTATGACCATCCGGTACACTACATGTTTACGTGATGGTGTAACTAAGGTTTCAGATTGCTGTTAGCACTTTCTGAAGAGAATTTTAAAAAATAAACTTAATAGGCGGTCGCTGTATAGGGAAGTACGAAAAATGTGTAGAGTTCATGTTTTGCATCATGATCAAATGGGTGAAATTTCATTGATCATATAATTAGTTGTTCGGTTTGAAACGTTAGATGTGACGTCAAATTGAAATTGTTCGTGATCTCGACATTTATTTCTTCACGTAAACAAAGTAAGCAGATGTTTTTACTTCTGAGAGTATCTCGACGTGTTTTCTGTTTGTATCTTCACTATATTATGAACTATATTATAGATGCTTCTATCACATCAAATCGGAGTAAACAATGTTAGGTGAAACGTGTTTCGGGTGTTCTCTTCATACTTTGTCAAAAATAGCAGCATACGAATTGATTTCACCACTAGGTTGGTATTAGTAGTTACATAAGGTTTCTGAATAGAATATTTCAGTTTTACTAGGGGTTGGTTTCAATTTTTTGTATTTTATTTGTTCGTCTCATCGAATGTCTCATTTTGTTAGCTAAAGATGGTTATTAATTTAATGTTTATAGGTATTGTAAGTAATAAAAATTTTTATTTGTTTAAGTTAAGCGGAGTCCAGTCGATAATTCTAAAATCATTCGAAGTGTGAATTGTGGATTCCACTTCTAGCCACCATCAAACCGCATATGAGCAGCATATGGTTTTCTGATTTTAAAATAGGTATGATTTTATGAAATACGCTGCATTATGGTAGAATAAATCAGAAAAGTCCATTTTATTTGTAGACAACTTTTATTTACATCACTTTTTTCACTACCTCATTCATCAGTATTTGGCAGCAACATGTGAAATCATTTCTAACTTTCCCCTACTCAACTCTTACTTCCTGTCATTTCTTTTAGTGACAGATTTACTCCACTGGTATCAGTTTATATCTTCTGATATTTGCGAAGACTGGGTGGGAAGCTTTTAGTTAATTTTGTTTTTAGAAATATGAGTGTGTCGTGAAAACTACATGTTTTGAATATTTGTCCAGTAGTTTGTGGAAAATGCATTCAGTAGCGATGAAATGTTATGGTTAGGGAATAAATAGGGTATATTACTTGACCTATTGCACTTTATAGAAATTGAGTAAGTATCTACATTGAAAAGAAGGCTAATCAGTTAGGAGTCGTCAAATATATACTAAAGTCAATGACAGACTGGGAGGTATGTAAGGGTGTATTACATGAACAAGGTTGCCTATTGGTTTGGTGAATCTTTGTTTAAAACCTCTCGATGTTGTTTCATGGTGGTAATTAATTTTATTCTTCTAACTGGTAATTTTCTCTGTGCAACCTACTTTATTTTACCATCTCCTTTTGGATTAACTTTTGTTATATATCATGTTATATTAATAAAAGTCGTAACACTAACTCCATTGAGAAGATATCTCCTAGCCTGGCGATGAAACGTTCATGAATGAATGTAGAAGCTTTCATGACACCAAACATTTTGCAGCTTTGTTTAAGTTTTGCTAATCATTTTTACGATAAGTATTTTCATTTCTAATAAGCTGAATAGTCTAGGTGATAGGCTACCCTTTGTACATAACTTGATGGTTTTAGTTCAACTATGAAAATATATTAAAACATAACAACGCTACTATTGTTATCGTTGTACATCTTAATGACTTTTTTGGCTTTTCCACCTGTGCGACTTATTCAACTAACTCTGATCAATTTGACTTTCCATAAGCTAATGCGGCTTTTAATGTTCCTTCAAACTGGTTTGTATCGTGTTTTTTTCGTCTGCTAAATTTAAGTGATACTCTTAAAATCTATTCTCACTTTCATAGATAATTATCAATCTAAATTACTTACGTCTTATGTTCATTAAGTAATATGATCAGGGAAATCATTTATTCAAGATAGAAATTTCTATGAATTCACATGTTACTTTCACCTGACATGTATGTCCTAATGAAGAGAAGGGAAAGACCCCAAAATATAAGTTGCCATCAGCTGCTACTCTTTTCATGTTTTTCACAGCTTTCATACCCTAGGATAAATCTTTCTTCAGAGTCCACCACAATTGCTTTTATGTGTGTTTATATGCATTTCAGAAGATAATTTTCCATGTAGTATGGCATCGATAATATTCATAATTACTACTTAAGAAATAAACATTAAATTGTTTGCTTTAAAAAAGTAGAACAAAAACGCTTTATCCGGTTTTTGTCCTGATCAGGACAAATTAAGTTTTCTTTTAACGCAGACCATTGGAATATGATGAGTACAACCTTCTTACTGGTTGTAATAATAATATTAATAGCTATTTACCCACTAAGATAATCAAATTATAGAAGGAAATTTGTGTTGCCTAAAGTCATGTTGGATGATGACCATGAATAACTGACATTTCATACAAATGAAAACATTTCGTAATGCTAACATTTCTTCGTTCATTAATACAAGTTACACTTGTAAATGTAATATGAAATATCTATCATTGCACCAACTACTTCGTACACAAGATGTTTACAGGTAGCAACTGAAGTTTATAAAATGAAAAAAATTCAGGTCGTTTATTCATTACTCTCAAGATTGTGTTACTTTAATGGGCCAACTGTTTTACACTACTGATTTTTAAAAATTTTATCAGTAAAAGAGTGACGCTATGAATTCGTTAGTTCCTTCCTTCTGATGATAGTTAAAACGAAAACTGATTAAAGAGAATCACCGATATATAACAAAACAATTGCACTTAATTATATGCATCAGCCAAGCTCCTATGTATGATCACATCACTTATCATAATTTTAAAAGCACCACTAATCCTACCTATAATCCTTAAAGTTCTGTACACATCATGATCTTTTCCCAGAAGTCTAAGGAAAAATTAAGATAAAGGTGATAGCTTGTGCTAAAAGGCATAATTTTTAATGTATATTTAGCCCAACTGAATAACTTTCACATCTTTGCAGGCATCTAGCACTTTTTACAGCTGCGCCTAACTAGTCGTCACTTGATATCACAACCTTCAAATCTCCTATGCCTGGTAGAATTTTCACAACTGAGTCATTTTTTATAGGAAACAAAAATAATACTGTAGGTTTTCTCGTAGAACTATTCTTCTTTTTATTAGAGATTGCAGGCAATAAATTTGTACATATGGGAAATAAGACTTTGGCACAGCAAGTTGTGAATATTCAAAGACATCTTTCCACCAAGGGAGAATATATTAAGATTAAATTACTGCCACTTTTCAATCATAAAAGTTTGATAATCTATATGTTTTGGAGGATACTTAGTAAATTTGCCTAGAAAGTTGTTTTTTGTAAGTATTACACAACACACTAAACACAATCCAGTGAAATATAGTCTTCCAAGTTGCATGCCTCATAATTCTTAGTGGTTCTTTATTACTGTTATTATAATTATTATTATTACTATTTAAACGCAAACTTAGCACATCATGGGTATGAGTACTAGAAAATTATGCACTAGTCTTCAGTTAATTATTGTTTTTAGATCTAGTTTATATGCTTCAGTATTCTTTTTAGACTATGCTACTAAACTTCTACATTCACCTTCTATCATAATGATAATAACTAGAAATAGTGGCTTTTATCACTAAGATTACAAAAAAAGCACAATGTGTACTTATTCTATGCATTTGTAAATTAGTTATATTTGTTCTAATGAAATAGGACAAATTTACAGTGGAATTAACACATAACCTTAAACATTTTGGTCAATTATTTTGTTCAGTTGTATGAAAGTGTGAAGTTTTTTTTCATCTTCATTCTATAGGAAAATATAAATTGACACTAGAGTCGAAACATGTTAACAGGTGGAACCTTCAGTTTTCTCCGCTAAGTATCTTTTGTGTTTTTATCAGACCAGGCTTCATATAATAAGTAGTTTTTAAGTTTATGATGACTTCCGTCCTTAGTGGTAATAAAAGTGATTAAAAAATCGATTAATGGTACGTCTGTTACATATTCTGTACTGTGACCTGTATCTTACTAATCACATACACGTATATGGAGTATTTCATTTCACTGTCTTTTATTACATCCAAAATGTTGAAGACATAAACATTCATTTTTGACTGGCATCATATTATTGTAATTACTGTCAGTATTCAGTAAAAGGCATCAAATTTAAATGTGAAAAATAATTGTTGCGACGTTATTAGCCGATTGTGAAATATACAAATTTATTCAATTCACGTCTTATTTCCTCTACGAATGCTTGCATCAGTCCTCTCATAAGCCTAGATAACTACTATGGGTTCGAATGTGACGTATTGCGTTACTTTATTGATATAGGATGATGTTAGTTACAATAATTAACTACTTATTAGTCTACAGACATGTGGATTTAGAACCAAACAAGATTACCGTATTATCTTGTATCATTCACTCATTCCTACAGTGCCAAATATAATGTATATTGCAGATGCGGCTACTTCAGAAAGAGATTTATGCTGAACACTTGAGCCAACGATTTGTGTCTATGTCCATAAAAATATTATTATATTTTCAAGGCAGCACTATATAAATGCGAGTACCTAATTTCCAATTCTATGATAAAAGGGCAACACAATCACGTCAGAAAAATTGGTTGATGATAACTTAGTCGGGGGTTATATTTTAATCGTACCAGTGAATTCAACTTGACAGAAGTTCTACCATTTAATG